AAATACAGGAGAGCGGTAGTTATCATTGACTCTGTCATTGATAATTTCATTGAGTCTTTCATAGAAAATAGTGTTTGATCGGCTGGGGGTTTTATATATTAGGATAATTAAGGCCTGAAATAGTTTAGAAACTCATTATTATCTAGATCTAGATAAAGTTATCTAGATTCTACGACTGGTTTGGTTAAGCCTAGTCAAGTCTTTCCATAGTTTAAGATCTATAACCTAGATACTAGATAACATAGATAAATCCATTGTATTCTTGAATTAGATGATCCTTGAAGCTAAAATGCAAAAGATTTATTTCAAATATTTAAGGACTAAAATAGTTTAATAAAGAAGCTCAATAATTTAGTGTGATTTTAAAATGGTTTTTATTTTTAACAAATTAATTTTGGTTTGACCTAGGTTCTAGATCTATAAATTTTCCTTCCTTAGACAGCTGATCTGTAGATTCTAGATCTAGATCTAGAGAAATTTATTGTACACTCAAAAGAAATGTTGAAAGTTGAGCCTAATAAAAATAGCAAACAGACATATCGTTAAAGTAACTTAAAGCTATAGCCAACAGAAAAGCAGCAGATCCAACACTATTATCAACAACAGATGTGTATTTGTTCTCAATCAGTCTTGATGTTGAGAATCTAATAAAATATAGTAGGCCTAATAAAATGGAATAAACACTTTTTGATTAATTAATAACTGAAAATATTTATTATGTCTTAAAAAAAAAAAGATAAATAAAACATCCATTCAATTCACAAAGGCTAATAATCATAATAATAAAGTGTATCTTCTGTCTTAAAAATTTAATCATTTTCAGCTAATTATGATTAACTTAATGGATTATTAAATTATTTAATAACATATTTGTAATACTTTGTATGACACATAATACTGTGAAGAGTATTATATCCTGTATGACAAAAATTAATGAATGATTAATGGTGTGTTTTCAGCCTCCACAATGTGGTATTAGTACAAAAGCAATAATTATATAAATAGATAATTAAAGATCCTTGTGAAAGAGAATTTAATGACCAACAACACATTAAGGTGGCTTAAGTCCTGAATAAAATTGTGTGTGTGTAGATAAACTAGACTTATGAGCAAACTTTTTATGACAAATGCCACATTCATATGGGCTCTGGAAAATGGTTATTTTTATGTCTAGATAAAACATCTTTACGCTTAAATTTTTTGTGACACACACCTAATTCATATGGTCTCTCTGTAAAATGAATCTTTTTATGTGTAGACTAGGCATACTGCCTACCTTCGCTTAGGCTTTCAAAAAAATTAAAATTGAATGATTAATTAATGGGTGATTGGCTGTTATGTTAAATGCTTAGGGCCTAAATTTATACAGTGGGGTACTTTTATTGTGCCCATAAATTGATGGAATATTCGCAAACTTATTACTCGCAAGGTTATTAGAACTGAAAGGGCTTTCATAAAAATTATTAATCAAATATAATATTAAATTACTTTTGCAATTAGTTTTACAATTTCAACACAATACAAAACTTAATTTATAACAAAATATCCATTTAAAACAATGCTATACATTATGATTTTTTTTTTCTTAAAAAGAATATACAAAATATAAAAAAATTGTTACATTAAAAAGTTACCGCCCCTGTTCATAGACCAAATGACCAAATCTCGTATAATGAGAATTTCAATCGCAGTCATTTTTAGCCCTCTTCGAGGGCTTTGATGCTGACCAACAGTTTTTCCATACGGCCCAGTCATCTATAGAGGTGTATGCAAAAAATTAGCCAGTTATACAAAGAGTAAGTACCCTAAAATTTGTGTAGAAATTACCCTGTTTTCCCCATAAAATACAAAGATTATATAGGGAAATACGACTGGTCAGTTTTGACCCATTTCCCGATTTTTTCCGAACATGGCGAGTTTTTTGTGACACCCCAAGGTGTTCTCCTACCACCTCACAAAATATCAAGGGGGGGTCGTTGGAGGAAATTTTTTTTCGTAATAGAGCTCATATAAAGAGAATTTCACTCGCGGTCACGTTTTAGCCCTCGTCGAGGGCTTTGAGTGGAACCGACAGGTCTGCCCTACGGCCAAGCCATTTACCTATAAGAATGCCAAATCTTAGCCAGACGTAAAGAGGGTAAGTGCCCTAAAATCCGTTTTGAAATGACCCTCTGTTTTCCCCATAAAATACAAAGATTATATAGGGAAATACGACTGGTCAGTTTTGACCCACTTCCCGATTTTTCCGAGATATGCCGAGTTTTTTGTGACACCCCTAGGCTTTCTCCTACAACCTCACAAAATTTCAAGGGGGGTCGTTGGAGGAAATTTTTTTCGTAATATAGCTCATATAAAGAGAATTTCACTCGCGGTCACTTTTTAGCCCTCGTCGAGAGTTTTGAGTCAAACCGACAGTTTACCCTAAAGGTCAAGCCATTTACCTAAGAGTATGCTAAAAATTAACCATATATACTGAGTTTAAGTACCCTAAAATCCGCGTTGAAATGACCCTCTGTTTTTCCCATAAAATACAAAGATTATAGAGGGAAATACGACTGGTCAGTTTTGACCCCTTTACGAAGTTTTCCCAGATATGCCGAGTTTTTTGTGACACCCCACGGTGTTCTCCTACCACCTCACAAAATTTCAAGGGGGGTCGTCGTCGGAAGTTTTTTTTCGTAATATAGCTCATATAAAGAGAATTTCACTCGCGGTCACTTTTTAGCCCTCGTCGAGAGCTTTGAGTCAAACCGACAGTTTTCCCTAAAGGTCAAGCCATTTACCTAAGAGTATGCAAAAAATTAGCCAGATATACTGAGTTTAAGTTCCCTAAAATCCGCGTTGAAATGACCCTCTGTTTTTCCCATAAAATACAAAGATTATATAGGGAAATACGACTGGTCAGTTTTGACCCACTTCCCGATTTTTCCCAGATATGCCGAGTTTTTTCTGACACCCCACGGTGTTCTCCTACCACCTCACAAAATTTCAAAGGGGGTCGTCGGAGGAATTTTTTTTCGTAATATAGCTCATATAAAGAGAATTTCACTCGCGGTCACTTTTTAGCCCTCGTCGAGGGTTTTGAGTCAAACCGACAGTTTTCCCTAAAGGTCAAGCCATTTAACTAAGAGTATGCAAAACATTAACCATATATACTGAGTTTAAGTACCATAACATCCGCGTTGAAATAACCCTCTGTTTTTCCCATAAAATACAAAGATTATAGAGGGAAATACGACTGGTCAGTTTTGACCCCTTTACGAAGTTTTCCCAGATATGCCGAGTTTTTTATGACACCCCACGGTGTTCTCCTACCACCTCACAAAATTTCAAGGGGGGTCGTCGGAGGAAATTTTTTTTCGTAATATAGCTCATATAAAGAGAATTTCACTCGCGGTCACTTTTTAGCCCTCGTCGAGAGCTTTGAGTCAAACCGACAGTTTTCCCTAAAGGTCAAGCCATTTACCTAAAAGTATTCAAAAAATTAGCCAGATATACTGAGTTTAAGTACCCTAAAATCCGCGTTGAAATGACCCTCTGTTTTTTGCCATAAAATACAAAGATTATATAGGGAAATACGACTGGTCAGTTTTGACCCACTTCCCGATTTTTCCGAGATATGCCGAGTTTTTTGTGACACCCCTAGGCTTTCTCCTACAACCTCACAAAATTTCAAGGGGGGTCGTCGGAGGAAATTTTTTTTCGTAATATAGCTCATATCAAGAGAATTTCACTCGCGGTCACTTTTTAGCCCTCGTCGAAGGCTTTGAGTGAAACCGACAGGTCAGCCGTACGGCCAAGCCATTTACCTATAAGCATGCCAAAACTTAGCCAGATGTAAAGAGGGTTAGTGCCCTAAAATCCGTTTTGAAATGACCCTCTGTTTTTCCCATAAAATACAAAGATTATATCGGGAAATACGACTGGTCAGTTTTGACCCCTTTACGAAGTTTTACCGGACATAGCGAGTTTTTTGTGACACCCCAAGGCGTTCTCCTACCACCTCACAAAATATCAAGGGGGGTCGTCGGAGGAAATTTTTCTTCGTAATATAGCCCATATAAGGCGTCGGTCAGTTTTGACCCCCTCTCCGTAGACTTTTCGGCCAACCGTCACCAGCCCTCGTGTTCTATCGCCCCAAGGCACCATCGTGCCATATTTGACGCGCCTGCAGCGCCGGGAAGTGCCCTATCGGGCACTTGACCACTTTGCTTTATATATATAGATAAATGACTTTTATTATTAAATGTTTCATGACACACATCACATTTATAAGGTCTCTCTGGTAAATGAATATTTTTATGTTCTGATAAATGACCTTTATGATTAAATTTTTTATTACACATATCACATTCAAATGTTTTTTCTCCTGAACAAATCTTTATATGTTTTGAAAAATTATGTTTAGTACTTAATTCTTTAAGACACACATCACATTCATATGGTCTCTCAGGTAAATGAATATTTTTATGTTCTGATAGATAACCTTTTCGACTAAATTTTTTGTGACACACATCACATTCATAAGGTCTTTCTCCTGAATGCATCTTTTTAATAACCCTAACAAAATGGAATAAACGCTTTCTGATTAATTAATAGCTGAAAATATTTATTATGTCTTTTAAAAAAAGATAAATTAAACATCAATAATAATCATAATAATAAATTGTATCTTATGTCTTAAAAATTTAATCATTTTCAGCTACATTAATTAATATATTTTGTTGCTCAATTCAATTATCATAATTATGATTAACTTAATGGGTTATATAATTATTTATACAAAATTTAGAATTACATAAAATAGAACATATTCAATAAAGAAAAACATAGAGTAAATATTACTTCAATGATTCAAAATATAATTGTACATTGTTGGTGTTTATTAGTGGTTAGTATTGTTGTATGGGTAATGTAAAGGATAAGAATTTAGCCATCATATTTTCCAAAAAAACCGAAACAAAGCTAGCCATAAAAACTTGTACTAGATAATAAATGTGCTAGGGAGATTCATGATACCAATTCTTTCCATGTAGTTTTTCTTCCTTTGTGTGAATTGTCTAGATAGAATATTAATCATTATTAATAATTTGTATGACAAATAATACTATGAAGAGTATTATATCCCGTATGACAAACATTAATGGTGTGTTTTCAGCCTACACAATGTGGTATTAGTAAAAAAAAAAAGCAATAATTTTATATAAAGATAATTAAAGATCTTTGTAAAAGAGAATTTAATGACCAACAACACATTCAAGTCCTGAGTAAAAATTTGTGTGCATAGATAAACTAGATTTAGAGGAAACGTTTGTGATAAATGTCAAATTCATATAGTCTCTCTGGTAAATGAATATTTTTATGCTTAGATAAACTATCTTTAAAATTAGATTTTTTGTGACACACATCAAATTCATATGGTCTCTCTGGTAAATGAATATTTTTAAGCTTAGATAAACTATCTTTAAAATTAAATTTTTTGTGACATACATCACATTCATATGGTCTCTCTGGTAAATGAATATTTTTATGTGTAGATAAATTACTTTTTTTATTAAATTTTTTGTGACACACATCACATTCATATGGTCTATCTGGTAAATGAATATTTTTATGCTCTGATAAATCACCTTTATGATTAAATTTTTTATGACACACATAACATTCATATGGTCTCTCTGGTAAATGTATATTTTTATGTGTAGATAAATGACTTTTTAGATTAAATTTTGTGTGACAAACATAACATTCATATGGTCTCTCTGGTAAATGAACATTTTTATGTGTAGATAAATTATCTTTACAATTAAATTTTTTATGACACACATGACATTCATATAGTCTCTCTGGTAAATGAATATTTTTATGTCTAGATAAATTACTTTTTTGATTAAATTTTTTGTGACACACATCACATTCATATGGTCTCTGTGGTAAATGAATATTTTTATGTCTAGATAATTGATCTTCATGATTAAATTTTTTGTGACACACATCACATTCATATGGTCTCTTATGTAAATGAATATTTTTATGTCTAGATAAATTAGAAATAAGGGCAAAACTTTTATGACAAACATCGCATTCATGTGGCTTGAGACTAGAATGGATAGTTATTTTATGTCTAGATAAATTTCTCTTCTTTGCAAACTTTTTATGACAAACATAGCATTCATATGGCTTAATTCCAGAATGAATATTTGTGTGTGTGGATAAACTAGAATCTGTAGTGAACTTTTTAGACAAACTAGACTTATTGTATACCTGTTCTAGGTTTGTTTTGTTAATCTGTTCACCCTGACTGATCATAACAACTTCTTGCTGACGAAAATCATGACCATATGGATTCACCCTTGTGTGAATGTTTATGTGTTGTTTAACATGATCAAAATGGAAAAATCTTTGACAACACATATCACACTTGTATGTCTTCAGTCCCTTATTGCTAATCAGATATTCTTTTGGGAGATTATCAATCAATTTTGTATGTAATAACTTGAGTTCTTTTAATTCATTTTGAAGATCTGATTTCAGAACTGCGAAATTTTCTTTAAAATCAGTTGAATCTGGTGGGGAAGAAAGTTGTTGCTGTGCTTTGAAACCATTTTGTTTTTCACTCTCCAAAGATGAAATTGTTAATATCTCAGGTTTCTTATCTTCAAAAATTGAAAATGCTGTTGATAGATTTGGTTTCATGTCTTCAGAAGATGAAAATAATGTTGGGTTATCTTGTTTCATCTCTTCTAAATTAAACAAAGGCTTTGTTTTATCAAGATTTTTATCTTCTAAAGCTAAAAATGGCCTTGTTTCCTCCAAGTATTTGTCTTTAACAGTTGAAAACTGTGTTGATACATTTTGCTTTATATCTTCAGAATTTGAAAAGAGTGTTGATATATTTGTTTGTACTCCTTCTGAACTTGAAATAGCTGATGTGTCATCTGATTTCATGTCCATAAATGTTATGATTTCGTCACTCAATTCCTGTTTAACCATAATTGAACTCTCCCACTTGGGGGAGCTACCATCTCCTACCGAGCGCGTCCCCAGGTGGCGGATAGGGGAGAGGCCCTTAGATATGAGGGTTAGCTGTGAATACCAAATAAACAGCCGTGGACCAACTGGTTTGTGGTCATGGAGGATGAGGTGGGATATCCATTGGTTAGGATATCCAATAAAAAACATCTCATAAATCCAAGGAAATGACTTCAACGGCGAGCATGGGGCGCTATAACTCCAAACCCGGGCAGATGGGGCTCGTTAGCAGGGGACAGCAACCCATCTAGGAGAGACAACTCCAAAATCAAACAGCTACTGCCTTGTAGTTTGTTCTTGGGTGATCAAAGGCTATGGAAGCAAATCCAGAAAGAAAAGCAGGCTGAAGTCGGAGTCAACGGGCCATCTAGTATGGCGCATAACATGCTGGCACGCACTGCTTAATTTTATGATGGAGGAAAGAAATAGGACTAACAGAAGTGGCGTCCTGCCTGTGGAATCCCGCCGCGCAGGTAGGGGGCCGGGCTCTCCGCCTCGAAGGAGCCCACAAAAGCGAGCTGGTGGTTCCTCTATTCTTGCCTGGCCAGCCAGGGGCAAGGATCAGAAGGTAAATTCTACTGGCCAAAATAGTGAGGAAAACAACAAATTACTTGTTATCCTGCAGTGGAATGCAGAGGGAGTTCATAAAAAAAAGGAAGCCTTAAAAATATTCCTACATGAAAATAAAGTAGACGTTGCTTGTATTCAAGAAACTCACCTCAACAACAATCTTCGCTTCTCTATTAGAGGATACACCTGCATAAGGCAGGACAGGGAAAACAGACCTAAAGGAGGTATCCTCATTCTCATAAAAAATGACATTCCAACAACAGATATCGTTATACCAAACTCAACAGCATCTGAGATAATGGGCACCAAACTCATACTTGCAGAAGGTAACCTAAATATCTTCAATTGCTACTGTCCTCCTGATAAGGACCTGGAACTAGACCGCATCTCCCTGCCAAACAGCGAAGAGTGCCTGGTTGTGGGAGACATGAACAGCCACTCCCAGAGCTGGGGTTACCCTGACCTCAATGCTAAAGGAGAGGAAATTGAAGAATGGCAAGCAGAAAATAGGCTCATCCTTCTAAATAAACCTGATGACAAACCAACTTTTTACTCAAGGTCTTGGTTAACCACGACTACCCCCGACCTAGCTTTTGCTACTAATGGCATATCCAAAAATGCAAAAGAGAAGTTGCAGATCAACTAGCCACTAGCGACCACCGACCAATCCTGATCCAGATAGAAACATCAAACAGGCCAATTGAAGCCTACCCCCGCCCTAGATGGAACTACAAAAAAGCTAATTGGGAGCTCTTCTCTTCCCTCACAGACTCCTACACAAGACCAATCAACTGTAAAACCAAACAGGTGAACAAGTCATACACAGCCTTCTCAAAAGCAGTTCTGTTAGCAGCCAAAAAATCTATTCCAAGGGGAGCAAGGAAAAATTATATCCCAAACTGGACTCCAGACCTCCAGATACTCCATGACGAGACAATTGATGCTAGAAACATTGTTGAAGAAAATCCCACTGTAGAAAATAACATAAAATTAAAATCAGCAAACGCAGTCTTTAGAAAAAAGTATCTAACTGCATTGAGGAAAAGCTGGCAAGAAAAAACAGAACACCTCAATATAGATAGAGATGGTCATAAACTATGGAGTATTGCAAAAAGGCTAAACCAAGAAGAAAACAGAGCTACTCCCATAGTCATCGACATTGAAAACACGATCAAAACAGAAAAGGATGCAGCAAAAGAATTTATAACCCACTTTAGCAAAGTGGGACGAATAAATATCTGCCACCAAAGAGTAGAAGAGGTTAAAAATCAAACTGAAGTTAAAGAAAAACTACAGAAAGTCTCTCCCCCCTCCTCCACTGGAATGGTAGCTCGAATTAGCAAGAAGGAGCTCGGAGAAGCAATGAAGCTCCTCAAACTTAAGCAAGCTCCAGGCCCTGACAAAATCTCAAATGATATGCTCATGCACTTGGGCCCCAATGCTAAGAAAAAACTGCTCCAAATATTTAATGCAAGCTGGAAATCTGGGAAAATCCCAAATATTTGGAAAAAAGCAATCATGATACCTGTTCTAAAAACAGGAAAACCCAGGAACAAAGTCGATAGCTATCGCCCAATAAGTTTAACAAGCTGCGTTTGTAAACTGATGGAAAGAGTAGTAAACAACAGACTGACCTGGTTTCTAGAATCGAACAATCTACTAGCAGACGAACAGGCAGGCTTCAGGAAGTGCAGATCTACTGAAGACCAAATCACCTTCATTTCTCAGGAAATAGAAGATGGCTTTCAAGAAAAAAAACCAACCTCAATAGTGTGGGTCGACTTTGAAAAAGCCTTTGACAAGGTTTGGGAGCAAGGCTTAATTCTAAAGCTAATAAACCATCAAGTATCTCATAACATGCTAAACTGGATAAAAGGTTACCTAAGCAACCGAAAAGCATCAGTCTCCATGCAAGGAAAAAGAAGTCACACAGTAACTATAAAAAATGGAGTCCCTCAAGGAGGAGTCTTGTCTCCTACTCTCTTCCTCATTTATATAAATGACTTAAATGAAAACATCCCAAGGAGAGTAAAAAGAAGCATGTTTGCAGACGACCTTTCACTAATCAGCACAGAGGAATATATTGGTACCTCAAAATTTCGTCTTCAAGAAACACTTGACAAGCTCGGCAAATGGACCAAAAACTGGGGCTTATCCATCAATACCAAGAAAACAACTTATTCAATCTTCACCTTATCAACTAAACATCAAAAAATGAAACTTACCCTAGAAAACCAAGAGCTAGAAAAAAATGACCACCCCAAATACCTAGGAGTCACTTTTGACACTCGACTTACCTGGAGAAAACAAATAGAAAACACACAAAGTAATGGGATCAAAAGACTTAATCTAATGAGGAAACTGGCAGGAACAGACTGGGGAGCAAATCACCACATCCTGAAAAAAACCTACACCAGCTATGTGAGACCTACGTTAGAATATGGTGCTTCGGCTTGGGGCTCAGCAGCAAAAACAAATATTAGCAAAATTGACAAAGTTCAGAACATTGGTTTGAGAATAATGACAGGAGCCATGAAAACAACACCCATAAATGCTATGGAGGAAATAGCCGCTCTTAGCTCAATAGAAGAAAGAAGAGAATCAAAAATCCTCACTCATTACACAAAGCTAGAGGCACTGGAAAACCATAACCTAAAACAAAAACTCCAGAAACCCAGTCCATCAACCAGACTACAAAGAACAAGTTTCATCAAAGAAGCAAAGAATCTGAAAAAGAAATATGAAATCGAAAATATCATTCCTGAAGCAATAAAAACTCAAAACCTCTCCCCGCCTTGGATCTCCCACTGTCACTTAACCATTATTGACTCAATAGACACCATAGGAAAAAAATCTGACTATGATCTAGAAGAACTTAAGAAAATAACAAATAAACACATTAAGGATCAGTACCCCAGCAATACCTGGATTAGAGTTTTCACAGATGGCTCAGCTGAAGATGCCACAAAAAACGGCGGGGCTGGCATCCTTATTGAATGGCCAAGCGGAAAAAGCCTGGAAAAGGCAATAGCCACAGGCAGCCTATCCGACAATTTTAGGGCAGAAAAAGAAGCTTTAGAACACGCAGCAAACCTCCTGTCAGAACACCCTGAATCACCGAATAGTCAGATTGTATTTCTTACAGATGCCAAATCAGTCCTGCAATCCCTACAAAATCCGGAGTCCTATATTCAAACACTCATGACAGCACTAGAGAGGCTAAAAAATACCTGCAGCAGAATTGTGCTGCAGTGGATCCCGGGCCACTGCCAGATCCAGGGTAACGAGATCGCAGACCAGCTGGCAAAAATTGGGGGAAAGAAACCACAACCGGAAATTTCGCTACACCCAAAAGAAATAAAAAGAATAATTAAACACAAACAAACGCAAATGTGGTCTGTCACACACCCTCACTACATTAAAGACGACGGCTATTACAATTTAACACGAAAACAACAATACATAATCTTTCGACTTAGAACAGGCCACAACAGACTAAATCAACACATGCACAAAAAACTGAAGGTTGGGTGTAGCGAAATGTGTCCTTGTGGCAAGGCCCCGGAAAACACGGAGCACGTACTCCAGGATTGTACTCTGTATAGCCAGGCAAGAGGCAGACACTGGCCCCAGCCCACCCCACTCAGGGAAAAATTATATGGGACACCTGACAAACTGGAAACCACAGTCCGGTTTGTCCATGAAGTTGGACTTGTTGTCTAATTCCTCCAACATATTCAAAAATTAAGAACGAAGAAGAAGAAGAAGAAGAACTCTCCCAAACTATACCATTAGTGTCCTTTGTGTTTTCCATAGCTTTAGATTCATGAATTATTGCAGAAAAAACTGGAAAAAAAAATCTTGATTAGAAAACCAAATTAAAAATAGTATTTGAAAATATATTGATTACATTTATAAACATGTTTAAATATTTATGTCTTAACTTTACACTTGCTTAATTTTTTTTTTAGAATTCATATAGATCTAAGAGACCTTAGACCCTTGCTCTTTTAGTTCAACCTTTATTAAATAGAAGAAAAAAATTCCTCTTCTCCTAATAAAGCTAGATTCATAAATTTAGTATCAATGGAAAGCTTAATGCCCACAAACTCATATGGTTTAGAGATAAAATACTCAAAAATGTAATTTTCATAATTTTTTTCTTTCAATTTTTTTTTTAGATGTTAATGATAAATTTGACTATCTGAACTTGGCGGGATACAGGGCAGATGAAGTAGAGTTCATCTGTTTCTTTGTCCTAAGCATATGAAGGCATAGTGTTGTCAGAGACATGTTCGACGAGATTCGTTTTTATTTAAACAATAAAAACATGTTGTCTGAGACTTGGCGGGACACTGAAGTAGAGTTGAGTAGGTCACCTGTGATATCATATATGAAAGGATAGTGTGGTCAGACCTATGCTCAGCTGAAATCGGTGTTTTAAAAGATAAAAAACGTCTTTTTGAATGTGGGGTCTGGTTATTTTATGATGATAAATGACAGACGTAATGTTATGGATGACCCCCAAAACCTACAGTTATCCAAGTGATGACCGGGTAAGTCTAGTTAATTATTAATAG